ATGAACTAAATCTGTGGTTCCCAAACCTGGATCATCCTGTCACTCACTAACAACCTACTGGATGGACCCAGGAATCAGCATTTTATGGAGCTCAAGTGATAGATAACCTCACCAATCTTCAGATATGCAATGAGGAATTCAAGCATAACTTTATATTCACAGGGCAGTTGGGTTACAGCCTCTTCAAATAAATGACAATTTAAAGTTACCTCCTCCAGGCCTTTTATCATTAATCCCATTTCTTACACGTTCCACTAAACCCCTAACCTCTCTGGTTTCTCAAATTTCCAAGAATCTCTGTTCACTTCTTATGTTTGTGCACTCCCAAGAGAATGGAGGCTTATCTGGAGAAGGAACTAGATTAATCTTCTGCTCTACACTTGAGCTCCTGATTATAGTAAGAAACTCAATAAAAATTTATTGGCAGATCAGAAGATGGATCCTTAGAGGAAGTCTAGTGTAAGAGTTGAAAGAAGGTACTTTGGAGTCAGATGGTCTGGATCCTGGCTGTAGCAAATTAACATTCCTGTCTCTCAATTTTTTTCTTCTGTCAATACCTACCTCAAAAGGTTGTGGAGGGTGAATGAAATGATACCTAGAAATTACTCTAAACAGTGCCTGGAATAGAGTAAGCATCCAGTAAATTGCTTGCTATGACTATTATTAAGAACACCTCAATATTTCCCAGCCACAATTGCCCCAACTGGGCAAGCCATCACCAGCCAACAGGTGTGATATGGGGAGTGGTCTTCCATGGACAAAGCTTCTGGTTCCATTCTTTCTACGAGAGAAATGCAAATGACTCAAAATCTTCTCACAAACACCATGTATCCATAGATAGGGAGTTTCCTGGGGAGAATGACAACCCTTTTGGTACTCTGCAGACATGAGGACCCTACATCAGGAGGTCCTAGCTAGGAAAGTCAGTCAGACATGAGGACCCTACATCAGGAGGTCCTAGCTAGGAGAGTCAGTCACCAACCCTGTCGCGCTTCGAGTCTACTACATGAAGCATGGGCACAAGAACAACAACCTGGAACTTAAGAACTATTTATACTCTGAAAGGACAGCTAAACAAACCTCTGTTCTCCAAAGACAAGATCTCCATCTTCCATGCAGTGAGGAGACCACAGGCTTTGTAAGCAGACCAACTTGAGCTCGTTTTAGAGCAAATCACTGTAACCCTCTGGACCTCACTTTCCTCATCTATATAGAAATGAGAAAGGGGTGCACAGGAGAAGGGAGAGAAGATAATAATATCTCACTGAATTGTTGTGAGGTTTGAATGAAGCAATGAGGAAAAAAGCACCTAGCATAGCACTTAGCACATCTCAAGCACTGAACTGGTGCTGGTCCCTCTGTCCAGATATAGGGCCATGGCTTACAGACAAGGTGAACTCATAGTGTCAGAACTCTAAGTCTCAGATACTGAAGCCTTGGGTCCCTCCCTGCCTCCCTCATCCCTCCCAGACCAGCTCCTGGACCCCCTCCCTCATGTCCCAGGCTGCTAAATTGATGAAGCTAAAAGGGTTTTGATCATGTCGGTATATTTATATGTAAATACAAAACTGTATCACTGTAAGATATTGAATATGAACATTACAATTATTTTCTGAATCTGCCTCAGTCCATTGATATTAAATACAAAAATGAAATGATTGTAAAAAATAAGAATATACACATTCAAAGAGCTTATTACAATATAAAATTATTGAGGTCTCATCAGCTGCCAACCTCATCTTCTGTGACAGGGGAAGGTTTAGGAGTTCCTGGGATTTTCTTGGGAATGTGGAGTGCTAAGGACTCTTGATTTATCCCTAGCACATAAGGATGAGTGGGCTGGGAGCAGGCAGGGACAGGCTGGGTGGGTAGGGGACAAACAGTGATTGCAGGGGACCACCTCACTCAGCCAGAGGGTAAAGCTTTTTATTGACACAGAACCCACCCAGTTTGAGGGTCTAGCAGGCTAGCAGGCAGGAAGAGATGGGCATCTCAGTAGACGGCCAAGCTTCATAAAGGAACCATCCAGCAAAAGAAAAAGGGCCCCAGCCCATCCTCCCAGGGAGGCATTTTCTTAGTAGTTTTTTCTCTCTCATACCTGGGCTACGCCTCCTTCCTTCTAAGACTTCGTACCGATTGCATGTGGCTCTGGCTGCTCAGTGAGTTCATCTCTACCCTCCGCCTCCCATCCATGGGATAGTGAAAGCAAAGAGAGAGTACGGAATCACAGTGGAGGTCTGTTCCCCAAATTGGCCAAGTAAACGCAGAAAAATCATCAGATAAGGGAAATCCATGCTGAGCTAACCCAGTGTCACCACAAACTAATACATTCGTGGCTCCAATAGGAGGGAGATAAGTCATTACTTAAGGAAGGGGCCCTGTGGCAGGAACATGGAGAAGTGTGTGTGTCCTCTTCCACCACTCTGTAGCCTGACAACAGGAGACATGATCACCAACCCAAGCTAGTCCAGGATAAATAGCAGGGTCCAAGAAGCAAGGAGTCCTGAACTGCAACACAGAGCCCCAGGAACTTCTACAAAGGAATATCTGTGTGTATATGTATTTATAGAATACGATCATATTATCACATACAATATATATTATATACACACGTACATATGGACCCATACACATAAGTACACACACGCACACACACAGAATGACAGGACTCGAATACACGCCCTACTTATAAACGTGCTTGGCACTCAGGACGATCTCTAGAATATGTAACTTGGTCAAGCTCTCTGGGGAGAAAGGCAAATGCTCATCAAACCTCCCCATAAAATCCTAGCAAAGGGAAGGAGTGGGAGACAGGAGACCTCCAGAAAGAGAATGGTGGGAGAAAGGAGGAGGGAGGTTCCTTCCCCACTTACCTCGGGGACCCTGGCAAAAATCAATAGCCACAATTTGGTTTTAATAAGGCACAGTTCGATAGCAGGTGCTAGGAATTAAGAACACATTGCTGCTGGCCCTTTCTAGTGGCAATTTCACCACATTTATCTAGCCAAAGGGAAAGGCTGCCTTGTGTGCACACGTGTGCCGGGAGACAGAAGAAAGAAGTTGATCCATGGCTTCAGCGTAACTGATGGCAACCTATAGGCTCAGCGGTGTCCAGGGTAGTTTAAGGAAGGCTGGCCAGCAGGTAGGAGGTTCGTGGGAGAGTTACTGACCCTCCACAGCCAGCAGGTTTTGGCCAGAGGATACCATGCCCTCCTTCTCTGCGAACTCCAGGATGGCCTTGTAGCAAAAATAGTACTGCTCAGGGGTCTGGATGCTGAAGGCCCTCTGGGTCCTCATGCGTGACACCGTCTGGAACACATTAAGGGTGCCAAGCTCCTCCAGCTGTGCCAGGCAGATGTCCAGTGAGCAGAAGGTACCTGAAGAAGGAAGGAAGTGATCACATCTGGTTTACCTCTCCTCTCCTCCTCCCTCTACCAAATAACCCAGGGAGAACTGAATGAATGAATTCAAAGGCAAAGCACCTCTTGGCAGAAGGCCAGGTGGCCTTAGGCCTGAAAGGACTCGAGGAGGAGGTCACAGGGAGTGTTGGAGGCCAGAGAAATGAGAAGGCCTCTTACCTCTCAGGACATACACTGGGGTAACAGGAAGTGGAAACGGGAAGGTGACATAAGGGAACTTCCTGCTTCAATCCCAGACAGACAGACTGACAGCACTCCCACACCTAATTTCCAGAGTCCACAAGTTTTTCAGAGGCCTAACACAAACCTATTCCCAACTTTCTCCCAAAGGACCTTTGAACTAGAAAGGCCAACATTTTCTACCATGTACATGCCCTTAAGACAAAAGCTGCTAACTGGCTCCAGAATGGAGAACACAGCACAGGGTGGGGAGTCCCTCCAGGGAGGGCTATATGGGAAGGAAGCAGCAGACCAGCTGAGCTCCCTGGGATACCTGCAGCGACAGTGCTAACAAGTGACAGGATCAGCGTTATGATGGGGTATATAAAACATCAACCCCTAGAGGACTTGGCTTGTGAAATATATATTCTGGCCATCACTTGGTCCACCAAAAGGACATTAGAAGAGGGATTTTTCACAGCAATTCACCACCAAGGGAGCAAGTGAGTTCCTTCTCCAATCACAGATGTGGGCTAAGAGCTTTGTTTTTCCTCCTCCACCCCTACTGCCTCTGCAGACACCAAGAGCTGCATTAGGTGCATTACCTGTCCTGCCAATGCCTGCACTGCAATGGACCACAATGGGTGGCTCAGAGCACTGCACTTTGGAGCGTGCTCCCATGTTGCTCACAGCCAGGCTCTGCTGGTTTCTGACCACTCTCAAGAAGTCAATGAGGGAAGCTGCTGAGGAAGGGACACCATAGTCTGGCCAGCTCAAGAACTGGAAGTGGGTCACCTGGCGTTTCTGCCGTTCCTTAGATGAGAAAAGAAGTAAACGTTAACGAGGTTATTTCTGCCTGCCCCTAGCTACCACTGGCTTTTCCAGATTCTCAACACCCTGGTTATCCCTACCACCAAGGCTTCTATCCACCACTGTCAACTTTTCCCGTAACTGCTTCTTTACTATAAACCCAAAGGAAGGGTTGGTTAATTGTTTGGAAAAGGCAGAATTCCTATACTGTAAGATCCAGAATTTTTTTTTGAGACAGGATCTCACTCTGTCGCCCAGGCTGGAGTACGGTGGCATGATCAAACTTACTGCTGCCTTGACCTCACAGGCGTGTGCCACCATGATCAGCTAATTTTTTCTATGTTTTGTAGAGACGAGATCTCACTGTGTTGCCTAGATTGTCTTGAACTCCTGGGCTCAAGTGATCCTTCCACCTCTGCCTCCCAGAGTGCTGGGATTATAGACGTAAGCCATTGCATCCAGCCCCAGATTTCTTTCTTTATTTTACTTTTTTTTGAGACAGTCTCTCACTGTCGCCCAGGCTGGAGTGCAGTGGTGAGGTCTCTGCTCACTTCAACCTCCGCATTGTGAGTTCAAGCGATTCTGCCTCCCAGCTAATTTTTTCTATTTTTTAGTAGAGACAGGGTTTCACTACGTTGGCCAGGCTGGTCTTGAACTCCTGACTTTGTGATCCGCCCGCCTCAGCCTCCCAAAGTGCTGGGATTACAGGCTTGAGCCACCGCGCCCAGCCTTACCCAGCCCCAGATTTCTATAAGCTTTACTCCTATTTAATGTTCCTATTGTGCTGCAGTAATATGGCTATATTGGCTGTGAGTTAAATATCCTCATCCTGTCCCTAGAAAAACAGAAGCAACTCATAACCTCCCTGGTATCCTATCTATTCCCTCTGGAGATTTTCATTACAGTAAGTATTCTCCCCCTGTTTCAATAAGGTCAGAAAAAAGAAACCTGGATTTACCTCTGTGTTGTGAATTTCTAGTGTTGTTTTCTTATAATGATTCATGTTCTCCACGCCTAGATTGGTCACTGTGAGGAAGCCAAATCGGATCCGAGAGTCTTTTTCTAAAGGCCAGTACTGGCCACACTTTCTCCTGCCGCCTTCTTCAAAGCTGAAGACACACAGAGCAAGGTAAGCCTTCCATCCTTCCTCTCCACAGCAGTAACCGGGCTTCCACAAAGACCTGATATACCCCCAGGCAGCAATATCATCTCTTGCATTGCTTCTAACTTACACCATTTATTCTCAGCAGAAAGGAAAGGAAACCTCTTCATTCTAAACAAATGTACTCACAGCCAAAGTTTCTGCATGTACTCATATAGCATACAGTTACTGAGCACTTACTACAGCATTTAGTCTTTTTCCTAATATGCAATAGTACTTCTCATATATGTGGGATAAATACCGGGTGAACAGAGAAAAAAACAGTATAGTAGCTGGGGGTAGTAGTGCATGCCTGTAACCCCAGCTACTTGAGAGGCTTAGGAAGGAGAATCACCTAAGACCAGGAGTTTGAGACCAGCCTGGGCAACATGGTGAGACTCCATCTCAAAAAAAAAAAAGAAAAAGAAAAAGAAAAAAAAAACAGTAGAGAAAATATGATAGGTCAGAGAGAACTCTCTGGCCTATACCTCAGCCACTGCTTATTGTATTCCCCAATAAGAGATGTTGGATAATAGAGAATTGATAAACACACATCTCCTGGAATGTTAGCAGGAGGTTTGTGTAAAGGCCTAAAGTCCCAGCCCAGGTAACATGGAAACCCTGTCTCTACTAAAAATACAAAAACTAGCCAGGCATGGTGGTGGGTACCTGTAGTCCCAGCTACTTAGGAGGCTGAGGCAGGAGGATTGCTTGAATCCAGGAGGTTGAGACTGCAGTGAGCTGAGATGGTACCACTGCACTCCAGCCTAGATGACAAAGCGAGACTCTGTCTCAAAAAAAAAAAAAAAAAAAAAAAAAAAAGCTTAGGCTGGGCGCAGTGACTCGTGCCTGTAATCCCAGCACTTTAGGAGACTGAGGTGGCGGATCGCCTGAGGTCAGGAGTTCAAGACCAGCCTGGCCAACATGGTGAAACCCCATCTCTACTAAAAATACAAAAATTAGCCAGGCATGGAGGTGGGCACCTGTAATCCCAGCTACTTGGGAATTCTTCTGCTGAGGCAGAAGAATCGCTCGAACCTGGGAGGCAGAGGTTGCAGTGAGCTGAGGTCGCACCACTGAACTCCAGCCTGCGCAACAGAGTGAGACTCTGTCTCAAAAAAAAAAAAAAGCCTAAATCTACCTTGCCACCCTCCAGTGCCCCCAAGGTATTCCAAGGTAGAACTTCTCCCACTACCTCCTCTCCAAATAAGAGGTGGTTATAACAGTGCTAAGGAAGGAAATTGAACATTCATTTTTTTCCTTCCTCATCTGAAATAGGTTATTCCTGAAATTTGCCAGATTTGTAGACCAAACTTTCAAAAATATTCCTTTCATTAAAACCTTCCTGGCCGGGCGCAGTGGTTCACACTTACAATCCCAGCACTTTGGGAGGCTGAGGTGACAGATCATGAGGTCAGGAGCTCAAGACCAGCCTGACCAACATGGTAAAACCCCATCTCTACTAAAAATACAAAAATTAGCCGGGCATGGTGGCACATGCCTATAATCTCAGCTACTCAGGAGAATCACTTGAACCCGGGAGGCGGAGGTTGCGGTGAGCTGAGATAGAGCCATTGTACTACCGCCTGGGTGACAGAGCGAGACACCATCTCCAAAAAAAAAAAAAAAATTAGCTGGGCGTGGTGGCACATCCTAGCTACTCAGGAGGCTGAGGCAGGAGAATTGCTTGAACCTGGGAGACGGAGGTTACAGTGAGCCAAGATCACGCCACTGCACTCCAGCCTGGCGGCAGAGTGAGACTCCATCTCAAAAGAAAAAAAAAAAAGTAGCAACAAATGGAGAGCAAAGGGGATCTGGTAATTCGGTAGTCAGGAAGAGAGCACCCCTCTGGAAATAGGGAACACATTAAAGAATTGTCCCATGTTTCCCAGAACTTCCTTTAGTGGATAAGGCCAGGACCTCAAAATAGGGTATAACTGGCACAGGGTTGCCAGAGCCAGGGATTAAAGCTTTAACAAGTTAGATCTATTCATCTCCACGATATCCGGGTTGTGGATTAGCTAAGAGATATCTCAAAATCTTTGCCATGGCTTTCCTAATCCTCAAAAAAATTTTTTTTAAAAATTGAGACATAGTCTCGCTCTGTAGCCCAGGCTGGAGTACAATGGCGTGATGTCAGCTCACTGCAACCTCTGCCTCTTGGGTTCAAGTGATTCTCCTGCCTCAGCCTCCCGAGTAGCTGGGATTACAGGCAAACACCACCATGCCTGGCTAATTTTTTGTACTTTTAATAGAGATGGGGTTTCACCAGGCTGGCCAGGCTGGTCTGGAACTCCTGACCTCATGATCCGCCTGCCTCGGCCTCCCTAAGTGCTGGGATTACAAGCGTGAGCCACTGCACCAGGCTGGCCCACATTATTTCTAAAAGCTAAACTTCCCTCTTCAATCACCTATGCTTAGGGGACAGAGTAGAGGTGGAGACCAGTGGAAAAAAGGGATTAACTCACCGGGTGGTCATGACAATCACCAAGACTTTTTGCTCCCATACCATGAGCCAGAAATCACGATAGGTATTCTCCAAAGGACCTGTAATAAAAATAGAATACAAGAAACATGACTCTGGGAAACACTTTTTTTCCTTTGTAGGCTCTTCTGTTTTACTCCCCAATGGTAACTCCAAACCATAGATGTTAGCTCCTTGCTCATCTTTCCACATCCCTGCTATTCAGTGTGGTCCGTGGACAAATCACACCAGCATCGTATGGGAGAGTGTAAGAAACATGAATCTGCATGTTAACAAGATCCCCAGGTGAGTCATAGGTAGGTTTGGGAAGCACTGCTACATACCCTCTCAGAGCCTTAATCATCAGAACTTCAGCCATCACATCAGGCCGACAGTGTCAACTGTGTATGAGTCTCTAGCTGTTTTCATCTCACCTAAGCTTCAATTTTATAATCACAGATTGCTTACTAAACCATTAACCTTCTGTTTCCCATCATCTCAGATCCATTATGTCTGCAACTAAGTCTCCTCCTTCAAAATTAGCTTTATCTTGGCCAGGTGCAGTGGCTCATGCCTATAATTCCAGCCCTCTGGGAGGCCAAGGCAGGCAGGTTGCCTGAGCTCAGCAGTTTGAGATCAGCCTGGCAACATGGTAAAACCCCGTCTCTATGAAAAATACAAAAATTAGCCGAGTGTGCTGGCACATGCCTGTAGTACCAGGTACTTGGGAGGCTGAAGCACAAGAATTGCTTGACCCCAGGAGGTTGAGGTTGCAGTGAGCCAAGATCGCACCACTGCACTCCAGCCTGGGCAGTAGAATGAGACTCCGTCTCAAAAAAAAGAAAAATTAGTTTTATCTTGCAACTTTCTTATCTCTGTTAACAATACTAGCATTCTTAAATCATTCAGTCTTAAAAAGTTGAAGTCAACACCGACTTACCCATTTCCTTCATCTCTCACAAGCAGTCACCAAATCCTAGAGATTTTTTACCTTTGAAATGTTTTTGCTTTTTATTCTTTTGCCCCCCATTTTCTCCCCATCCTGCTCTTCCTGCTCAATTTCACTGACACAAAGACCACATCATCTTCTGTCTAAGTTACTGTAACACCCTCTTAGTCTATTTTTCTGAATAGGCCTTTTTCCGTTCCAGTCTACTCTGGGAAACCCCACCAGTTTAATCTTTCTTAAAAGTTTCTTCATCAGAACATAGACACACCATGCTCACCTTGGCCTCTATTCTTTTGCTCAAGCTGTCTCCATTACCTCCAATGCTATTCATTTTCTACCCATTTTCAAGTGCCGCCTCTTCCTTGAAGCTTTCTCTGACCTCCTCATTCCTTGTGAAGCTTCTTCTCTTTTGCTTTTGATGGCATAGCTGGCTAACCATTTAATTTATATACTCTTCCATCCATTATTTTACTTTGTGGGAATTAATGATATCTCAGTAAACATTATCCTAAGGACAAGGGATTACAGGCATGAGCCACTGCGCCTGGCCAAATTCTCCTTTTTTAGTTAGAACCTGCATAGGGCTGAGCACTCAGCAATAACTTTGAAGATACTTGTGGACTACCAACTCCACTTTGATCAAGACAGTAACCGGCCGGGCGCAGGGCTCACACCTATAATCCCAACACTTTGGGAGGCCAAGGCGGGCAGATCACTTGAGGTCAGGAGTCCGAGACCAGCCTGGCCAACATGGTAAAACCCAATCTCTACTAAAAATACAAAAATTAGCTGGGCATGATGGCGGGTGCCTGTAATCCCAGCTACTTGGGAGCCTGAGTTAGGAGAATTGCTTAAACCCATGAGGTGGAGGTTGCATTGAGCCTAGATCGCACTGTTGAACTCCAACCTGGGTGACAGGAAGACTCCATCTCAAGAAAAAAAAAAGTAACAACTCAAGATAATTCCTCATACTTTCCGGGTGTTTCTTCCCTCTCTGCTTTCAGGAAAGCAGGGCAGTACTAATGGTTAATTTTGGCCTAGAAGTCTGCTGGTTCTACTACCATTATTGCTAAGTCTTTTAGCAAGCACTAACATGATACTGGAATGCCCTCTCTGCAGAATTGGATGATGTCAAAAGCATGTGAGGTCTAAGAAATACGCTAAATATCCAATAAGAGAGGATTAATTAAATTATGGCATGTCAACTGTAATCCCAGCCCTTTGGAAGGATGAGGTAGGCAGATCACTTGAGCCCAGGAGTTTGAGACCAACCTGGGCAACATTGTGAAACCCTGTCCCTACAAAAAATACAAAAATTAGCCAGGTGTAGTAGCACATGCCTGTAGTCCCGGCTACTCAGGAGACTGAGGTGAGAGGATCACCTGTGCCTGGAGAGACCGAGGCTACACTGAGTCATGATCGTGAACCATGATCATACCACTCTGTCACCCAGCCTAAGTGACAGAGTGAGACCTTGTCTCAAAAATAAATAAATAAATAATAGCATACCCATAATTTATACAGTCTATAAAGCTGATGTTGTAAGAGCTATATTTTTTGCTATGGAAAGGTATTCACAGATACCATTAAATGAAATAAGAGATGTGTATAGAAAGAGCATATTTGGTTAAATTAAAAGTTTAGTTTTTTTTTTTTTTTTGAGACCGAGTATCACTCTGTCACCCAGGCTGGAGTTCAGTGGCGTGATCTCAGCTCACTGCAACCTCTGCCTCCCGGGTTCAAGCGATTCTCCTCCCTCAGTCTCCCAAGCAGCTGGGACTATAGGTGCCCACCACCACACCCGGCCAATTTTAGTAGGGACTGGGTTTCACCGTGTTAGCCAGGCTGGTCTCAAACTCCTGACCTTGAACTCCTGACCTCAGGTGATCCACCTGCCTCGGCCTCCCAAAGTGCGGGAATTACAGGCTTAAGCCACCGTGCCTGGCCTTTTTTTTTTTTTTTTTTTTTTTAAGACAGAGTCTCGGCCGGGCGCGGTGGCTCAAGCCTGTAATCCCAGCACTTTGGGAGGCCGAGACGGGCGGATCACGAGGTCAGGAGATCGAGACCATCCTGGCTAACACAATGAAACCCCGTCTCCACTAAAAATACAAAAAAAAAATTAGCCGGGCGTGGTGGCGGTGCCTGTAGTCCCAGCTACTGGGGAGGCTGAGGCAGGAGAATGGCGGGAACCCGGGAGGCGGAGCTTGCAGTGAGCCGAGATCACGCCACTGCACTCCAGCCTGGGCGACAGAGCGAGACTCCGCCTCAAAAAAAAAAAAAAAAAAAAAGAGTCTCACTCTGTTGCCCAGGCTGGAGTGCAGTGGCACAATTTCGGCTCACTGCAACCTCCACCTCCTGGGTTCCAGCGATTCTCGTGCCTCAGCCTCCCAAGTAGCTGGGATTACAGGCGCACACCACCATGCCTGGCTAACTTTTGTATTTTTAGTAGAGACAAGGTTTCACCATGTTGGCCAGGCTGGTCTCAAACTCTTGACCTCAGGTGATTCACCCACCTCGGCCTCCCAAAGTGCTGGGATTACAGGCTTGAGCTGCTGTGCCCAGCCTGGTTAAATATTTTGTATGCCTATATCTGCATGTATGCATAGATAAAGGTCTAGGAGGAGACGCTGTAAAATGTTAACATTATCTCTGGGTCCTAGGGTTATAAGGGATTATTTTTATTTTCTAAATGTTCCACAATGGACATGCATTACCCTAGTATACACATCAAGAAGACAGTAAGGACACCTTTTCCACATCTCTGACCCTCAGCCTCATCCACATCCTACTCTCCTGCACCACAGCAACTCTCATATACTTCATTTTCCACATTCAGACAACTAGCAGAATTGGAGTACTGAGCAGTCAGAGCACATGGTAACTCAGTTACCAGACTCAGACTGGGCAAACTTCTCACAGGCTCAAGAGAGATACTTAGAAGGGAAAGTTGTACTTCCCAGCTTAGACCCTTTAACAGTAGACTTCTCTCAAGAAATAAAGTCAGCAGTTTATACTGACATAGGTGAAACAATCCACTGACTTGGCTTGTAAAAACTTCTGAATCAAGCAAACATGGGTTCAAACCCTGGTTCTGTCACTTACTAGCTGCATGGTCCAAGGTCATGTCAACTTTTGGGTTTCAGTTTGCTCATCTATAAATTAATAAACTTCCCTTGCAGAGTCTCTATAATAATTAGATAGCATTTATGCATCTGATATATAATAGGTCTTCTCATTAGATTACATCATTAGTAGAAATATAGGCCAGGCACAGTGGCTGATGCCTGTAATCCCAGCACTTTGGGAAGCTGAGGTAGGCAGATCACTTCAGGCCGGGAGTTCAAGACCAGCCTAGGCAACATGGCGAAACCCTGGTTCCACCAAAAATACAAAAATTAGCTGGGCATGGTGGCAGGTGCCTGTAATCCCAGCTACTTGGGAGGCTGAGGCAGGAGAATCATTTGAGCCCTGGAAGTGGAAGGTGAAGTGAGCCGAGATCACATCATTGCACTGCAGCCTGGGCGACAGAGCAAAACTCCATCTCAAAAAATTAATTAATTAAAAATAAAGAAGTTGCAGACATTATGATATTTTATTCCCAAATACTTGAGCATTTACTAGGAAAACAAGGACATCTTCCTATACAAGAATACCATTATCACCTTAAGCATCCATTAAACATGGATATAATGTTGGCTAACACAAAGTCTCCAATTGTCTCAATAGTTTGTCTTCAATAGTTTTTTTCTCCCAATTGAGGATCTAATCACAGATCCTCTTATTTTTTTTCTTTTTGAGACGGAGTTTCGCTCTTGTTGCCCAGGCTGGAGTGCAATGGCGCAATCTTGGCTCACTGCAACTTCCGCCTCCTGGGTTCAAGCGATTCTTCTGCCTCGGCGTCCCAAGTAGCTGGGATTACAGGCATGTGCCACCACGCCCGGCTAATTTTGTATTTTTAGTAGAAATGGGGTTTCTCCATGTTGGTCAGGCTGGTCTCGAACTACCGACCTCAGGTGATCCACCTGCCCTGGCCTCCCAAAGTGCTGGAATTAAAGGTGTGAGTCATTGCGCCCAGCCTTTTTATTTATTTATTTATTTTTGAGGCAGGATCTCGCTGTGTCAGCCAGGCTGGAGTACAGTGGCACAATCTCGGCTCACAGCAACCTCTGCTTCGTGGGCTCAAGTGATACTCCTACCTCAGCCTCCCAAAGTACTGGAGTTACAGGTGTGAGCCACTGTGTCCGGCCATGGTTCTCTTTAGTCTCCCTTTAATCTAGAACAGTTCTCTGCCTTTTTGTTTTTTATGGCATTAACTTTGGAGAGTCTGAGCCAGTTTTCTTATAGTATGTCACACAAT